TAGCGAGATTACAGCATCTAACGTACATGAGCTACTATTCGATTCAAGTCTAAACACCACTACAACATGATAATCTGCCTATATCGATATGGTTTCGCATGTTCGTCATACATATTAGAGCTTGCCACTCGGAAAGGATCTACGTCACTCGGTCAGTCAGTAGCTATGCAAAGAAGTCAGTAAGTGCGCCAGCTAGACAAGTAAGATTAATGCATGTGAAAGGTAGTGGAAAGACCCTTTAGTAATATCATAAAGAGCTCAGCGGAGCAATTTTAAGACATAATATTGGTGTTTGTGGCGACCTTCTACCTGTCTTAAAAGATACTTCACGCGTGGAACGGATCAAACCTTGCTCTGTTACACCGTCGCAATCAAAAGGAATAGGCGTATTTACTTCAGCTAAACTGGGATTTCGTAGTATCATTGATACTGACCCCGTCTTCTGAACAGCGTATATTACATTTGCAGCCACGCGCGCCTCCGATTCGTCTCATTCGGGGAGCTATGCGCTCAAATGGGATTATAGCCCAAACCTTCCCGGGTAAGATGGTGCTCATCTTGCAGATCACGTTAAACCCGGGCCATGTCTCCCATAACATGTGAACACTAAGAATATTATGTGCAGTGTGATTTTGGAACGTAACATAAGTAAATCACAGTGTACATATATTATATGTAGCTTCGCTTTTAAAAGAAAATCTAAGCACACCGCAGCGCAGCAGAGGTGGTCAAACCTCCCGGCACCAACCAACCATGCCCTAGCGTCCGCGGAGCGGGCGCCCAGAGCGCTAGTTTCCCGCTCCCTAACCTTGTAACCTGTCCGTCCGTCTGTCAATAAGTCCGTCCGGTTCCTTTCTTGCTGTATTTTCCTGCCTTTTCGCATGGCTACACTTGGCCTGTCTAATATATTTTCGTCCCATCTTACCGACCGCGCCTACTTTTCTGACTCGACTTAACTATACCAAAATTACAAATATATCCAAAAGCGTGACGCAATTAACTCGCGCCCTGATTGGGCAATACCTGCCGACCTGTGCCACTGACTGGATCTGTCGCACGATCAGACCGCCTCTCGCCCTCGCGATTGGACGTAAGGTAAACATTTCTGCCGAGCACGAAACGCATCGATTGGTTGCAAACAGCCAGGCGAGTGCGCAGATACTTGATTATTGCGCAAAACCTGTCGTATGTACTGCAAATCGG